CAGACCCTTCATGTTTAGGATTTACTGTCCTAACAGTAACAGATAAGGGCTGGGTGTATAGCTTAGTGATAGAGCAGTTGCCTAGCATATGTGAGGCTCTAGCTACACACACACACACACACACACACACACACACACACACACGAGAGAGAGAGAGAAATAAAAATAATGTAATAGACTTTTTATCACCACAGTCTCCATTGAAAATTTGATACACTAGAATAGATAAAAATCACAAATTTATTTTGTCTTTGTCCTTTCCTACCTGTTCCACAAGGTGGTTTATGTTTTGCTTAGCAATAGTCTTTCAAGGTACCTCACTCCCCACATCTACTTAATTATCTTAAAGATCATGTGAAGATCACAAGTGTGATGACAGAGTTTGGCTTTGTAATTGTAACTACTATACTATGCTACCACCATGTGTGCATAAAGCAATAAAATATGGTAGATTCAGTGATATAAAGATGCCCATGGTACGGTGCAGAGATTAAATTGTCATCAAGAGTGGATATTTTTAAAGTAAATTCTATTTTGAAAAGTAGTACCATTGAGTTCTTAGTCACATGGGAATTCCTAACATTGTCTCTTTCATCTTGTGGTCACCATTGCCAAGCACTGACTGAGTCTAGGCAAATAGGTAGCACTAGGGAAGTATAAATCCAGTAAATAAATGACAAAGAAGGCAAATCCAGAGGTCAACTTCAACTCTGTATCTAAGGAGGAGCAGCTGGGCAGATACCCCTATCGTCCTCGTAAAGAGATAGTCTATTACAGTGAGAAAAGGCAATGCTGTAAACTAGAATTAAAGTTGAAATTATTGAAACCATTCATTAAATTTATGACCTCAGGCAACTTATTCAGATTATTTTTTTCTAATTGGAATCATTTTTAAAAATTTTACTTATTATTTTTATTTAAAAACACTATTTCTCACCTTTAAAATCCCAACAATCATAATTGACACAAACGAATTATTTAAAGCATTAAATTTTGATAAATTTTCTAAGAGAAAGTTTGGGAAGGAACACTTTTCTTCTACTTTCTGATATAATTGAGCCTACAAAATAATACAATTAGCCAATTAACAAGAGAAAATTGTGCATATTTAATATGTGCATAGAGATACCTCAAGGAAGAGTAGATGCCCAAGAGTCAGCAAGACTCAACAACCTTCATGGGGGAGAAAGAGGAGCAAGCAGGCAGAGTAAGAAAGAAGGATGGGCCTTTGGAAGAATAGATAATATTTTATGAGAATGTCTATGTGGTTCAGGGCAGATGTCTAGTCTTCCCTGATTGATGGAACCCTCTGGGAGAGGGCTGTTGACAGCTGGACCCTTTTGTGGACCTCTTTAGACAAATAAGCAATTCCAAAAAAATCCATCCCTGCACTTGCTGTTCTTCAAGTATATTCAGCCCAGAGTAATCAATTCATGGAAGTAGTATTTTTTGAGGAGCATGTCCTAAATCCCTCTAAGATTTCGGCACACAGTAAATAAACAACAGATCTCAGTAAATAAACAGCAGATCTCATTCCCCACAGTCACTCCAGTCCCAATATCTGGAGCACCTTTGAATTTTCCTTATCTAACTTTCTGCAGTTAATTTTTCATGAGTTGACTTTTTGTCTTTTCTCTAAACTATTCAGCTTCTCCTTACCACTTCACACAAAGAGTATTTTATTTATTTGTTCGGGAGTGTCCTTGTACTGGCATTGCAGCCTGAACTACTGATCTAAATGACTCTTGCCTATGCCAAGAGCTGGTTTCATCTGACATCCCCCCAACCCACCACCAGGTACACAAACTCTACATTAAAATACTCTGTGCTTCATTCAATTTTTTTAATGATCATCTTGAAGTTTTTTTGTTTATGAACAAGGAGCCCCTTTATTGATCATGAGGTAAACTACAGATTAGCACTCAGCATCTTTTACAGCATGGCTCTGTACCCTTCTCCAGAGCTTTCAGTAATGGCAGAGGGAATGGAGTTTATTTCTTCATGTCTTCATTTGTCCACAAATCATTATTTAATATTATCGGGACTTTCAAGGATTGGTGCAGTATACTTCTGCCTGCTTTTCTGAACTGATTCCTCCCCCACATAACTGCTGCGGCCTAATGTGAACTTCAGATAACCTCCTCCCCAAACACTTTGCCTCTGTCATTTGCCCTCTAGTTCTCAGCTGAATCTCCCTTTCACTCGTGGTTTGCACGACTCAACTTCTCATACTTTAACTCCGTAAATACTGCATGAGAGAAAAGATCATTCCTAACCCTGTATGTCATACTTGTGGCCCTGTATTCATTGTAATATTCTATGTTTACTTGATCTTATCCAAAAGGGAAAAAGCAATTGTTGACTGACTTCTTGACAATGCAACAAAAAATTATAGTGTGAACGATCTTGTTGGGGTTCTAGAAGTTTTATGTATATAATATGTATTGTGCACAATTCGGTGAGACTAGCATTATTCTTTAATGACATCTAGCACCTTGTTGCCGAGTTCTCTTAGGGTCCCTTACTCCTGGCACAGGTAGACAAACCACGGCGTAACACATCTTCATCTGAATTTTGCATAGTTTATACTTTTGTGGGGGGGGGAGAAACTTACAAAGAAACAAACACCTGACACCTGGCACTCAGCTCTGCAGGGTAAGCCTGCCCTTCCGGATCGCTTTTGCCCACGGTCTGCCTCATCTCGTGTCCCCACATGTCCATTCACCCCACAGAGTTCCGTGAGGGGTCCACAGGGTCCTCGCAAGGTCCCCCAGTGCCCCACAGGGTCCAGGGCAGGCTGGCTCGCCTGCTCCATGTTCCCTGCTTCCCAGAATTGGTGCCAAATCCTTTCCTTCCACTCTCTCCCCACGCTAGGCTCCACCCTTCTTCCCAGGGTGCCCTGTGCTAGCCCATGGTTCTTCAGAAGTCCTGGAGAAATAAATCATTTTCAGCTACACACCTCCTGTACCTAATATGTGTGTTTAATTCCTTATTTGGTGTATTTCACATGATACCACCTTAGTTTACTAATGTATCCTTCATATTTTGTGTATAGGAGAAATTCAACAATATCTTCTTAGTATGTGCAAGGTCTTGGTTTTTATACTGTGCATTTCCCATGGATCAAGAATCTGGGCTACTTTAATCCCAGTACTTGGAAGGCAGAGGTAGGCAGAGCTCTGTGAGTTTGAGGCCAGTCTGCTCTACATAGTGAGTTCCAAGCTAGCTGGGGCAACAGGGAGACCCTGTCTCAAAAAGACCAAAAAAGAATCTGGACTATTCCTCTGTTGAGTATGTTTGGGGTTTACCAACACTTTTTCATATGCCATTCCTTTACACAGAGTGAACAGTCCCTTGTCTATTAAATGGATGGTCATTCCAGGTCAGCATTCAGGGTCCTTCCCTTCTGTCTTATACTACCCACCTAACAAAAGCCACTTCAAAGAGCATCTTATCCATGAAGTGTTTCATAAATAAACTTCCCTCTTCCAGAAAGGCCCTCACTGACCCTTGCTAAAACTCCTCCCGAATTTCTCTGGCATGTCATTGTTTCTCTTTTGTGTGTATGTATTTCTTTTTATTGGAGTAGTGTCTTGAGGTTTTTCTCCATAAACAGACTATAACTTCTCATCTTTCTAGTTACTGTAGCATTTATGGTCTCACCTTAATAGGTAATCGATACATTTTTATTAATTGAAATATTTCCATTTTGAGAGGCTTGGAAATCACCAAATCTCAGATAATCCTGAATCATGATCATGAGCCTGTGTATCCAATAACACTCTAGTTACATTTCCACAACCTGAGAAGGGGAGATTTACATGTAGGGACTTGGAAGTTTGCTTTTCTTTCTTTTCCAGTGAGAAATCTGTCTTGATGCTCTAGGAATAACCTCACACCCAAGCTCATGCAGTAACCCTACCTAAACTCAGTGGGTCACACACACAAAGGACATGAAAGGAAGGGGAGGACTTGTTGGGGAGAAGAAGGATTTCAGTGGGAGGAGGGAAGATGAGACTGGGCAATCAGGGATAAAAAGAACCAAATTTCATTATATACATGAAACTGCCACAGAAAAATAAATAAAAACTCTGTCCTGATAGAACCTCTTTTGTTAAGGGTTCCCAGAAGCAAATTTAATTATAAACATAAGAATAATTTGCAGTGGACCAGTGAGGCAAAGTGAATGAGCAGGGTGTTAGAACCACACACATCTAGAGAAAACACTGACAAATTCTGTCATTAAGGATCAAGTCTCTACATGTGACATAGGAGAAAAATACCTGAGAGAGTTGTGACAGTTTAGGGAAAAACATACACCAATATATTTGTCATTAAATGTTAATGTTAAAATTTTTTTTGTCGTTTTGAAATGGTCTCCCTGTAGTCCCAGATGGCCTGGAACTAGCTATGTAGACCAGGTTGGCTTTGATCTCATTGAGATCTGCCTGCCTCTGCTTCCCAAGTGCTGAGATTAAAGGCATGTGCCACCACATCCGGCTTAATGTTAAAAATTTTAATTAAAATGTTTAATAGTATTGGTAAAACTTTCCAGTATAAGATAGAGAATTGAGGGCTGAAGAGATGACTCAGTGGTTAAGAGCACTGACTGCTCTTGCAGAGGACCCCAGTTTGATTCCCAGCACCCACATGGCACTACGAACCATCCTTAACTCCAGTTCCAGGGGAATCTGAAGCCCTCTTCTGACCTCTGCGGCATTGCACAACACAGGTGCACTCACATACATGCAGGCAGTACACTCACACACATAACATAAGAATAATAAAATATTTTAAAAAGAGAATTGAATGGAATTTGATTATTTCCTTTCTTCTTCACAAAAATGATAGTTTTTTCAAAAGTTGAAATCTTAGGGTAGACTATAAGGGAGCAGAGTCAGCAGATTTGAAATTTCAGAAGACAGAAAATAAACAGAAAAGAACTGACAAAATCTGAGGAAAGGAAAACATTGATCAGTTTGTTTGTGTGTTTGTTTGAGTACTATACCAGGATAGACTGAGCCACCTCAGGATCTTCCAAGGCTAGCACATTCTTATTACCACAATTACTTTAGTAAACACAGTTTCCTTAGTTGTTGGCACATCATGCAGGGCTAGTGATTGAGTTTGCATTGGATCCATCTTTTATTTATTTATTTTTAAATATTTTATTATTTTTACTTTATGTGTATGCATATATTGCCTTCATGTGTGTACATACACCTGTGCTGTGTAATGCCCAGGAAGGTCAGAAGAAGGTATCCTATCCCCTAGAACTGGAGTTACTGATGGTTCTTAGATGCCATATCAGTGCTCTTAACCCAATTCTGTGCTTGTTTAAAAAACATCCATGGAACTGGAGAGACGGCTCAGCAGTTAAGCGCACTGACTGCTCTTGCAGAGGACGCAGGTTCAGTTCCCAGCACCACAAGGTAGCTAACAACCACGCATATCTCCCGTTTCCGGGGAATCTGATGCCCTCTTCTGACTTCCGTGGGTGTTTCAGGACATAGGTGCACATACATACATGCAAGCAGTGCAGTCATTCCCACAAAATAAAAATAATAGATAAAATATTTTTAAAGTAAGCACAGAAGACAAGGCCCAGGCTGGCAAGCTGCCCCTATCTATCCTAGGAGAGGACCTGGACTTGGAAGAGGAAGACAGGCATGGGGAGGAAGAGGGGAGAGCACTGGGGAAATGAGGGAGGTTGGTGCTAACTTTCAAATCCCATTGTTACTGAGGAAATTGCAGTTCCTTCTTTGAATTCTTAGTCTCCTTAATAAAAGAATTTAAAAGTTCACTCAGAAGGATGCCTGAGGACATTGACTAGAGTTTAAGAGAAAAACAAGGCAGGGAAGCTGCACATGTTGGAAGAAAGGAAGCCGTGTTCTTTTTTAAGCAGCTACATGACAGACAAGTAGGCACGTGATGAAAGGGGCAGGGAGGAGCTTCGGAGAGTGAGGAGGCCTCAAGTGTTAGTAGGCAAAGCATGCTTAGGAAAGAGATAGACAAGAAGAAACAAGAAAAAGTTATGCTTTTCTGTCTTATGTGTTTTGGGGAAACTCATCACTCTGTATTAGAAGTACAATAGCTCATGAAGGGATAATTATGCCACCAATCCTGTTAGTATGTCTTCCTGTGGCACGGTCTACTGAACTGACTGCTAACTGACAGGTCCAACTGCATCAACTCTTTTTTTTTTTAACTTTCTATGTAGCAGATTTATTATAAATACAATCGTCATTAAAATTATAACATTCTATAATATGTTACCATTATATTACATCATTTAAACAGAAATGGAAAATACAGTTATGAAAAATAAAATGACTCCCTCATAATCACAGAGTAAAGAATGTGGAAATTCTATCACATGGCTAAAGGGGATACATACTTTAACCACCACAATAACACACATGATATTAGCACCTACTGACATTGTATTATTTATTCCACCTAAACTGATCTGAAAAGAAGTGGAAAGAAGTTAAATAACTTTCTCAAAATCACACAGAATAAAGAGTGGGGGTATCACAAGCAAAGGTGATATTTATTTCAATCACTGCACTAAATATACATGACATTAGGACCTGCTGTCATAACTTAATATTCAAACTTCCATAGGAAGCTGGAGAGATGGCTTAGCAGCTAAGAGCACTGACTGCTCTTGCAGGAGACCTGGGTTCAATTTCCAACACCCACATGGTGGCTAACAAGTATCCACAACTCCAGTTTCAGGGGATCCAGTGCCCTCTTCAGACCTCCATGGGCAACGCACAGCACAGATGCATTTACACACATGCAGGCAATACACTCATACACATAAAATAAAAATAAATAAAATATTTTTTAAATTCCATGTGGAGTCAGTGTTTCTTAATGCCAACACTGAAATGATTTAAAAGTGTTCATAGGAAAAATCTGAATGTCGAGATATAGGTGAGAATTGGGCTACAAAATTAGGCCGATCCTTTTGAACGCTGTTCCCTGGGCAACTCACTCCTTTTTATTCCTCTTCTCAAGCCCCCTAGGCTTGACCACTATCCCATTGTCAAGATCCCCTGATGGCTCAGGGAGTCATGAAGACAGAAAACAAGGACACACTGTGTTCATTGCAGATGTCAAGGCCAACAAGCACCAGATCAAATGGTCTATGAAGACACTCTGTGGCATTGATGAGGCCAAAATCAGTACCCCAGTCAGGCCTGATGGAGAGAAGGTATCTGTTCCATGGGCTCTGGATGATGCTTTAGATGTTGCCCACAAAACTGAGATCATCTAAACTAATACACATTTTTCTTCCATAAAAACGAAATCCAAAGCCAAGCATGGTGGTACATGCCTTTAATCCCAGTACTCGGGAGGCAGAGGAAGGTGAATCTCTGTGCGATCAAGGCCAGCCTCAGTTACACAGTGAGTTCCAAGTCAGCTGTGATGGGAGACCCTGTCTCAGCAAACAACAACAAATCCAAAGACAGTGGCATATCCACAGCATTAGAGAAGCTTAGGAAGAGGCTAGCAAGTTTGAGGCTAGCCTAGGCTACATAGTAGGATCTTATCTCAAAAAACAAAAACAACAAAGAACAAATATTCATATTACTGACAGTAAAAAACTCTACCAGCCAATTTTTGCATATTACCAATTTATTTTTAAATGTGATCTTCAAATGTGACTCTCTCTGTTCTGGGAATTTGGGATTTGAATAAAATGTAAAGTGAATTTAGGAGTCACAGTTTAGATAAGGAGGTTATGTCCCAGGTGGTTCATGGTTTCTTGATTTTCTTCCTGCTGCTCAGTCTTGGCTTACTATCAGTCTTCTTTTGACAGGTTGTCACTGCAGCAGACTCACAGAATACCTATGTTTATAAAAGCACTGAGGGGAGGTTTCTAGGTTACAATAAAAGAAAAGGATCTGTTCTAAACAAGCAATGTGCAAAGGGATACATACAAGGGAGACTTGGAGCTTCTAAGAGGAGGTGCCTGCTGGATTTCTGCCATAAGCAACATTGAAGATGATTTCTGTTATCAAACTGAACACAGAGCAATACCTAACACTTCTGAGCATTAAAAATAGTTTTGCTGCTTTTAACTTCAGGTTTTTATTTTCTCTCTTTCTCTCTCTCTCTCTTTCTTTCTCTCTCTCTCTCTCTCTCTCTCTCTCTCCGTCTCTCTTTCTCCCTCCCTCTCCCCCTCCCCCTCCCTCCTAAACCTACTGAAGTGAAGAGATTTTAGAAGCTTAAAATCTATTTCAGCTCAGTTACTTCGCACAGATCTTTGAAACATTGGACTTCTTTCCAAAAGCATCCTTTCACTTCTTCCCGTACTAAGCTATTCTTCAGATAAAGCTATTAGTCCTTTAAAATGCTTTGGTTTCCTGTGTACACACTGACAACTTAAGCACCAACTCGTGTATTCAGTATATTGACACGAAACCCCTGCATTGGCCTTGAATTTACCTCAATTGTTTGTACAGAAATATTTGAATCTCCACTTCGCTTGCTGTTTGAATAAAGGCTTTTTTATTTGTTGATCGATTGAGAATCTCATATATGTGTTCAATCAAATAAGATAATTTCCACTCCCTATCTCCCTCTTCCAGCTTCTCCTAAATCCCCCAAGATGTCCCCCTCCCAACTTCACATCTTCTTTATCTTTAATAACACGCTAAGTCCATCCATCAGTGCTGCCCATTTGTGCATGGGTTTGGGGCTAGCCTCTGGAGAATGGGAACATTTACCAGTAGGAACGCCCTCAGAAAAGAATAACCCTCCCTTGGCACCTATCAAACGCCTTAGGGCTAGGGCCTTGTGAGCTTTTTGGCTGATTTGACATCGTGCAGGCAATCACAGGTGCTGTGAGTTCATGAGTACAGTAGCCATACCTTGTCCAGAAGACAGCGTTTCACAGCACTCCTCCCCATCCTCTGGCTCTTACATTCTTTCTACCTCCCTTCTGAGAGCCTGGGTGGAGGGTGGGCTGGATGGAGGTTTCAAAAAGATGTCTCGTCCATGGCTAAGCACTCACAGTCAACTATTCTCAGTTCTGAGACTCTACACTGGCTGCTGCTCACTGCAAAAAAGAAGCTTCTCTGACCAAGGTTGAGAGCAGCCCCAGGGCTAGGAGTCTAAATATAAATATTTAGAAAGTAGTTTGATAAGGTGACCAATCAATCATGCAACCAAATTCAGAATCACTTGAATTTTTAGATTTCTATTTTTTCTTTCCCTCAAGAAAAGCTGTCTTTTAGGAGATAATGTAGCCATCACTACAGATTTGAATTTGTTTCCTGGTTGTAACAGAAGTCTCATTCTATGGAAATTCTACCTTTTCAGTTGGTGTTATCAGAAGGTAAATTTGAGCATCTAGAGAAGCTATGTTTTGGACCTACCGTGACTAAGTTGTCAAAACGTACGCTAGTACAATGGCCTCTGTCATGCTCATAATGTTGCTGCTCTCACAGCATTCAGCAACCTATATACTTTGGAGAAACAGAGTAGTTTTTTTCACTGCACATTTATGGGAATTAATAATGCATTGAATGATACAAAATAGTATTAATTTTTGGGAAAATTCCCAAAGTGTATGTAAGAGAAATGGATGGGAGTTGACACTTTTGATAATAAGCAGAAATGAAATAGCAGAATAGGAACAATTATTTTAGGAAATACCACATAGTATTTTTATGTGGGAGCCACCACTTCAATATTTTTTGAGTATTTTATTTATTATCTTTTTATTTTATGTTTATGAGTGTTTTGCCTGCATGTACGCAAGTGCACATGCATGCAGTGCCTGTAGAGGCTAAAAGAGGTTGTCAGATTCCCTGGAACTGGAGTTATGGATGGTTGTTAGCTGCTGTGTGGGTGCTGGGAATCGAACCCAGGTCCTCTGGAAGAACAGCAAGCAAGGTGAATTCTAAATTCCACCTAAAGCAATTTTTACTATAGTATTATAACCAGTTAGAAAACAATATTTATTAATTTTGAGGTTATCTGTTCTTCTAATTTAGTAATATAAACAGTCCTCTCTTAAATTGCATATGACTGGCAAGGATACTTACAGTTCAAATGAGTTAAGCAAATATTTATCCTGTAGTTACTGAAGTCAGAAATGTATCAAGCATAGGAAA